TTTTGGTCCTTTTTCCTATTTTTGTTTTTCTTTATTTGTTTCCTTTTTTTTTCTTTCCCCCCCCCCTTCCTCTACTGTGTAGTCATTTTTGTTTCCCCTTTTTTTTGGGTTTGCGGTATATTTCGCCGTTTCCCTCGTGCTATACGCCTGCGTACATACATACCTACACATATATGTATATGTATATATACGTAGGTATGTACTTCTTTGCATGCCTGTATGTGGGTGTGTGGTGTCTGGAAGCAGTTCATCTCCTAGCGTTGGTGATGGGAGTTATAGTTCTCGTGGGCTTGGTGGGGCGTGCGAGGGACGAAGAAGCGGCAAAAGGCGCACTGCAGACATCTGCGTGCTGCATGTTGGTGGGCGTCGTGCGGATCCTGCTTTGTCCTTTTTTTTCCCCCCCTATCCCTCCTTATCCCGCCCTTCAAACTCCATTTTCGTTCTTTATATATATCTCTCTGTGTGTGTGTGTGTGCGTTTTTGTGACCACCGCCTTCCCTTCTCTTGTTTTTTTTTACTTTGTGTCTTTTTTGTTGTTCAAAGTTCTGCTGTTGTCCAGCGGGGCGTGAAGTGTCACGCAATACGGAAGATGTGGTCGTGGCGGCCGCGTGTATTTCTGTATGCATCGTGGTGTATTGTGTGCGTGCGTGGAGGGGTGCTGCGGGGCCGCTGTCTCTGTTTGCCGGCGGCGTGGGTGCGTCTGCCGCAGCAGCCGCGGCTTATGCCTCTATTTTTTTCCGCTTCCTCCTTTTTTCCTTTTTCTTCTTGTCCCTCCGACGGAGGCGTGTGGACCGCGCGACGAGGCCCCCCGGGTGTCCTGCGCCCGCTGCCGCAGCGGCTCAGCTGGGCGCGCAGAGAGCGGGAGAAAACGCGCGCGTGTGTGTTTGTGTCGGGCGCGGGGTGTGGGGCACACACGCAAGGAAAGAAAGAAGTGGGAGACAGAGGCAGAGCGGAGAGCGAGAGAGTAAAGCGGAGGGTAAAATGACACGCGGCACGTGACGACACACTAGAAGAAGTAGTGCGGAGGCCGAATGCATCGGTTTCCCTCCCTTGGGTGCCAGCGCCCGGGCGACTGTGCGAAAGCAGGCAAGCAAGCAGAGAGCGAGAGGGAGAAGACTGGAAAGTAGGCGCGCTTGCCTGCCCTGCATCCCCCGCGCTTTTCAACTGCTCCTGGCATGCCTCTTGTTCCTCCTTTTTTTTTCTTCTGCGATGGGTCGTAGGTGGGGCGCGGACGAGCCTTTTCGTAGCGGCGTGGGCGTTCTCTCGGAGAAGTTGACGGCGGGGCAGCGGCGGCCTCGGACGCATCCCTGCAACTTTTGAGGCGCCTCCCGGTCGGGCTTTGCAGAGCTGCGGCGGCGATGCAGGACACGGCGGCGAGGGAGCGCAACAGCGCCGCGGTGCAGCGGCTCTTTGCGCGGGAGCGTGGGTCACCGCTGACGCCGTGGAAGTGTCCCGTCGTGCGCTGCGCCGACGGGACATTGTCGCCGGGGATGCACCTGAGCAACCAGTGCCAGCTCGCGCACGAAGTGGGGTGCGGGTGTCCCGCCGCCACGGCAGCGGCGGCAGCGGCGGCAACTTCCTCCCCGCACAGCCGCGCAGTTGACTACGGCAACCCCCTCTGCTCCTGCTACTCCCTGAAACGCAGGATCGCCCGTCACGAGTGGGCGACAAGCAGGACGGAACGGGGGAAACTGCAGGGCGGCTCGCTGAATCCCCAGAAAAGCGCGAGGGAGCAGCGGGCCGCGATAGACCACGAGCAGGCGATACTCCGCTACGAGTTGTCCATTCCGCGCCGGCGCGTTGCGGGTCATCTCTTGCACCTCACCGCGGCGCAGCTGGACCTTAGCCAGTCGATGCCCGGCGCCCACACCATGGACCGCCTTGTGGAGCGCAAGAAGGGGTGCTGGGTGCTGCAAAACCCCTACCGACAGCAGCTGCTTCGCGGAGAGCCGGTCATGACTCGGATCATGCACGGGGAGTTCTACGAGCCCCAGCGCAGTGAGCGAAGGGTAACTAATTTCCCACAAGCTAACAAGCGCCACGTCTGGGCGGCGAGCAGCATAAATCACGCCTTGCACTCCAGCAAGAAGGCAAAATGAGTAGGGTGGGTAGAGCACCATAGACGGCGGAAGCGGCTCTGCGCCGAGCTTAGATTGTTTTTTTTTCTTTTTTTCCTCCGCTTCAGCGCGTTGGCCTTCATTCCTTAACTGTTTCCTCTTCTTTCTCCATTCGCGCCTTTGCTGGGCTTCACGTTGGACGGGACGCTTTCTTTGCAAGAAGAAGCTGCGTTGGGAGATGTTGGTTGGAGTTTCCTCAAAAAAAAAAGAGCGAGAAAAAAAGAACGGATCCTCCCTTTATATGTGTGAGGCTCACTCACTCTCTGACTGCGTACTTCGCTCCACATGGGGCCTTTTTGTTTCTTCTGCTACAATGATGCGTCTCAGTGTCACAATTGCTTCACTTTTTCTCGCATTTTTATTTTTATTTTTCGTCGGCTTCGCTCCACTGGCTTGTTGCTTCTCACGGGCCTCAGTGTTTTTTTTTTTTTTAGTTTGAAAGACCTGGCTGCTGCCTGCAAAGACCAGGAAGTGGAGGTGCAGCTTGTGCCCAGTAAGCAGTACACGCAGGCAAGGGAGTACATATATATATATATATATTTGTATAGATAACTATATAACGATATATGCTTATACGTGTACGCGTTTCATGGAGGCTTTAGTATTTACCAAGCGTGCGCGCAGGAAGCCGCTGGTTGTTTTGTATGGAGTAGTGCCTGTATCTTTCGTCGCCGTGCGTGTGGGCCGCGCCACGCTCCAGTCCGTCGCCGCCGTACGCCTTGCTGGGTCTTGTGCGCATTTGTTGTTTGGTGAGGTGGTTGCTTCCAATGCGGCGCTGACTGGACGTGCGCAGGTGGAGGCGTTTTTGTTTCTGCTCTCGCGCGTCTCCGTTTCTTCGCCGCAGAATTTGGTGCGAGGGGTTCAGGCGCTTGGCCGGCTGCTAGCGAGATGCGCGCCTGGGACGGTGGGCAGCACAACGGCCACCACCTCATGGCTGGCGAAGCAGTCTCTTCTGATGCAAGTAAAAACGATTGGCCTCCACGGCAGCGCGGTCTCTGCCCTCGCCTCCACCGCCGTTCAGCTGGGGCTGCAGGGCTGCTTCCTCGTGCAGCGGTCTATCACGGACCGTGAGATCGCAGCGCAACAGTTTTACTACGACGTCGTGACGGCCCTCCAGTCGGGGGCTGCCTCGGTTGCGGGTGGCAGCTGCGGCGCCGTCCTTGGCGCGCTGCTCCTCCCCGGCCTGGGGACGGCGCTGGGCGCCTTCATTGGCTCCTGCGGCTGCGGTTTTTTGCCGTACTTTTTGCGCCGCGATGGGCCTGAGGAGCGGCGGGAGCGGGAGCGGCAAGCTGCGGCGGAGTGCCGCGACCTCGGCAGGCCGCTCGACGTCGTTGAGGACGAGGAGGTCGGCTGGCTGCTGCTCGTAGAGTGCGAGGGAAATTTGCCCGCGGCGTCCTTTGGCTGCATGGTCGGCGACGACGCCGAGTGGCTGACGGAACTCCCCTCCGCCGCCGACGACGACGACGACGGGGCGCGGGGCGGGCGGCAGGTGCCTGGCACCGTGACATGCGGCGGCGGCGGCGAGTTTGAGGACTTTCTGGACTTCGGTGCACCGGAAGAACTGCAGGCCACGTAGCCGATGAACGACGAGAACGGCGGGGGAAGCGACGACTTCCAGTTTCCCCCCCTCTTCCTTTTCTTTTGTGTCTGTCTATGTGTGTGTGTTTCTCCCCCCGCCCCCACCGGGCACGTAGACACGGAGGAGCAGGACAAGGCGGAGAATGCGGCGGGGTGCGCTGGTTTCTCGGCAGTGGGGACGACGAGAGAATAAAACCGGCACGCACGGCACATGCACCCCGCGGCCGCAGGTTGTTTTGCTCCTCCGCCACACGGCGCACCGTGGGTGGAGTCTGCGTACGGTTGACATGCCACCCACTCTTTTTTCCTTCCTCCCCCCCCCCCCCACCCACACACACGCGCACACGCACAGAGGCACGGACAGAGAGAGACGAGGATAGAGGTGTGAAGTATAATAGAAAAGAAACTTCACAGGACGAACTGATCAAGTAGTAAAAAGAAAAAAATAATAACATCCAAGAAGGGTCCGTTGCGTGTGTGTATGCGTGGGAGGAACGAAGTAGTATCTTGGTTAGTGTAACTGCTGCGGAAACGCGAGGAGATTTATAGTTTCGCTTTCCTAGCCTTTCTAGTGATGTTAGTAGTAGTAGCTTGCGGCGGGGGTGGGTGGCACGCCGGTGTGCCAGCACATATATACACTGTGGGTGTGCAAATAAGTGAGCGGCGAGGCCAAAGCGCGGGGGAACGTCATACACGTTTTTAATATGCACTTCTCTGCGGGTCTTGGGGGGGGGGACTGGGTTGTTGTGCCCCTTTTATGCATGCAGGCATATACGTTATTCATATACGTGTGTATGTGTGTGTCTCTGTTGCACGACAGTTTCTGAATGTGAGTTTTTTTTCTTCTTCTTCCTTCCCCCCTCTCCCCTCCGCTTTTTTTGTTTTGCGCGTTGTATTCACGCATTCTTTTTTTTTTTGTCTCCCCCTGTGCGTTCTTCAATTATTATTATTATTATTTTTTCGCTTGCCTGTTTTTCCTTTTTTTCTGCTTGCGAGTTGTTTTCTTTCGTAACTCTCCCCCGCTCCACTTCTCCCCTCCCCCGCCCCGCCGCCTGATTGAGGCGCCTCCCACCCACCCCCGTCCCCCTGTTGCGTCCTTCCCCCATTTCTTTTTTTGTTTTTAGTTTTCTGCTCGGCCCTGCCTCGGCGGGCCCCAGTTGCGGGCGCATGCACCGGCATGTACCGGGAGGAAAAGAAAATCTTATGTATTCCCTCCGTCTGAGTTCTCTCTCTCTTTCTGTGCGTGTCTGCCGACAGGGTCTGCGGCCTCCCCCCACTGCCCCCCCTCTCCGCCACTGCGTGGAGGGACGCTGCAGTGCATGAAACCTTCCGCTGCCTTTTCGTGCTTTCAACATGCTTATGTCTAACATTATATATGCACATTCGCTTCTTGTTTCAGGCGTGGGGGAAGGAACCGCCAAAGTTGTTTTTTCCCCCTTTTTTCTTTCTCTCTATTAGTTGTTGACCCAACTCTGCGGTTGGTCTCGCGTGGTATTCCCACCGCGTGCGTACCTACGTGTAGATACACACACACACGCGGACAGGCGGATAAGTTTTTAGTTTTTTTTTTTTTGTATTGCGGTAGCTGCGGCGCATCGGGCGCGCGCATCTCTGTGGGTGGTGTGGGTGCTATCGCCACTGTGTGCGTGTGCGTGTCGGTCCCTTCGCGCGGCCCGCATGATAGCCGGCCTCTCCACTTCGCCGACCTCGAGCAGCGAGGGCACCCGGTTTAGCACGGGGCGCAGCAAGCGCCACCTCTGCAGCGATGCCTTTCTGCGGGAGTACCTAAACACACTGCCATCCGACTTTGAAGGCGACGCCTGCCCTCCGCTCCTCGACGAGGAGGAGCGGATAGAGCGGGAGCTGGCGCAGCTGGACCGCAGGGGCCTTAAGGACCGCGTCGCAAGCGCGACACTGCGCTGCGACGAGGCGCTCATCGACTTGCTTGAGCAGGAGCAGCTGATGGGCAGCACGCTCTCGGAGGTGCGCCACCTGGAGTCTCGGCTGAGTGACATGGAAGACGAGGTGGAGACGCTGCGGTTGCAGTTGCAGGCGTCGGACGACTACGTTGAGGCACTGCTCCGCGAGAAGGCAGACGTCTGGCGAAAGTTGACAGAATCCAAGCACGAGTTGGCGAACGTCAGCGCGAAGGCCGCCCGTCTGCAGCGGGACCTCGCCGCCACGACAGCGCATGAAAAGCAACGCCTGAGCCCTCTAGGAAACACGCCCCGTGCTGCCTCAGCGGGGGGGATGTCTCCTGCCCCTGTCTTGCGGGCGCACTGCTCCTTGGCGGAGCGGGGGCAGGGGCGCGGCGGGAGCGGCGTCGGAGACGGCGGAGGTCTGCAAAGTGGGCCCGCACTTAACCGGACTCCTCAGGGGGAGAGGCGTCTTGCGACTGATGTTGCAGGGACGACGCCGACGGGGACAACTGCCGCCGTGCCGCCGCTGGAGCCTGATTCCCACACGCCTGCTGCCCGACAGGCGAGTGCACGCGCACTGAGCCCGTTTGCTGCGGGCGCTCTGCAGGAAATTGAGGCAACGCAGGGCGAGGGAGGCAGCCTGCACAACGGCAGCGCTGAAACCATTGATTGGCGCAAACGCTGCCTCGAGTGCCAGAAGCGGAATGAGTTTCTGGAAAAAGAACTCGCCAAGGCACAAGGCTCCAGCAGCGGGGCTTCCAAAGAGCTGACTGCACATTTGCTCCAGAGTGAGACGTCGCATGATCCTGCCTTTGCGCAGGAGCTTCACTCCCGCCTAAGGCGCACCGTGGCGGAGCTGCGGCGGGTAGAGGGCGAGCTAAGCGCGGAGCGTGAGCGGAATCACAAACAGGGTAAACTGGAGACGCGGCTGCTGCAGGACGTCGCCCTCTTTGCACGAAAACTGCGCACCCACGAGAATGCAGAGAATGAGATGAGGGCCCGGCGGCGATCGGATTTGAAGCTCACCCGAGAGGAGTTACTAGACGAGTTGGGTCGCTGTCGCTCGACCATCAGTGGGTTGACGGCGCAGCTCGCTGCTTCTAGCGCCGACGAGTTGGAGCAGCCGCAGCAGCAGCAAGCAAAGAGCGAAGCGAGCGTAACCGAGGAACTCGTGTCTGCGCTGGAAGCGGCTCTCACCGCGAACAAGGCCCTGCGGGCAGAGAAGGAGGTTGTGCTTTTGGAGAAGAAGGCGCGGGAGGAGTCATACGAGACGGAGCTGCGCAGCCGCGTTGCTGAGATGGAGAGGCTGACTGCCGCGCTGCACGAGCTGCGGGAGCAGGCAACCCTGCTGGGGAGGCAGCGCCCTTCCACCGGTGCCTCGCAACGGTGTCTGCCCGCGGCTGGCAGCCCAAAGAGCCCGACGGACAACGACGCGGCGGGATGTGCGAGGACGCCGAAAACGTCTTGACAGAGCGCGGCGCTCTGCGGCTCCACGGAGGTGCGTGCTTCTGCGACGCTCCTGAGGATGCTGGTATGTTTTTTGTCTTTTGTTTTTTACTTTTTCGCCCATGCCATTTTTGCCTCTCGGCACCCTCCCCGTCGGGCGTCTCTCTCCGTTGACGGCCGCGCCCGACGCCTCCCAAATGCCCCGCGTGCGAGTCCCCCGTTTCGTGCTCCGCGCCTCTTTTTTGACTCCCTCTCCGTCGTGACACGCGCCGTGGCGTGTCCCCAGCAGCGACAATGCGATACTGCCTTCCTCCCTTTCTTGGCTCTCAGCGGGGGGCGGGGGGAATCGGCACCGAATGTAAAAGAAAAAAAAAGAAACGAAAGCACAACGGGGTGAGTGCGAAGGGGGAAAACCGAGCGGCTGGGGCTTCTCTGCGCCGGGACCCCGCTGCGGGCGGGGTCGCTTGCGCGTGCGTGTGTCTTTTTGCGCCTCGAAACGTGCAGGGGCTCGTTGATGTGCCTGGATGACATGAAGAGAAGGGCAGTAGAAGGGAACAATACGCACGCGAAAGAAAGAAGAAAGAAATACAACAACAAATGCGTGGGTTGAGGCGGGGTTTGCTCGGGCTACGCCGCGTGGAGTTGTATTCCTACGTAGCACGCTACCCGGCAACACGCTTGTTTTTTCGTGTTGGAAAAGGCGGGGGGGTTGCTGGTGTGCAGTTGCCGCGTGTTGATGCGACGACCTTTGGCCGCAGTAATGGTACTGGTCTTGTTGCTGTGGCTGACGGGCGGCTTCGCGGCTACCTTTTATTATCATCGGTTCCTTGTGTGACTCACAATTTCCCGACGTCACTGCGACTATGCCCCTTTTTATTTTCACAGCGGCTTTTGCGAGTCGTTTTTGTGCTTTACGGATTGTTGGCGCTTAGGCCGCGTCCTCCCTTCCTCCTCATGCGAAGAGATTTTTCTTTTTTATGGGTCTATGCCCTTTCCCTCGCCTGTTTCTCTCTATCTCCCTCTTGCAATGCGTAGATATGTCAATGTGTGTGTGTCTGTGTGTGTGTGTGTCTCACTGTCTTCCGCCCCGACCGCTTCCGCGGCGGGAATTTTTTTTTTTCGTCTGACTCTCGCTTTTTTTTTTTTGGTCTGCCGCCGCGGAGGGAGCTGCAGGGGCGGGTGGAGGACACGACGGGGGAGGCGGGGCCTGCATGCATTTCCCGCTGGAGGCATCGCGACGTGAGAGGGGCTTCTGGCGCGCGTGGGTTCCCTCCGCCGGCGAAGGGGAGGGTGGCCACACAAACTGGCACTCATGCAGGCAAACGGGCCGTTGGCGGTCGGCCTCCAGCGTCTCCTTCCGGGTCTGCCGGAGAACGCGACGGAGGGCGCCCTTGTGGATGCCCTGCTACGCTGCTGCCAGGAGTGGGGCGTTACCGCAGAGGCGGAGCTGTTGCTTTTGCTAACAAGCGATCTACCGTTCGTGCAGCGGCGAATAACGACGGCCGTGCAGCGGGGACAGAGACGGCAGTCATCTTTTCATGCCGCGGAAGTTCAGCATTTTCTTCAGCAAGCGCTCTTGTCTCTTAGCAGGCAACATCTTCTTCAGAAGCATGGACTAACCTCTTTCGAGTTGCCAAGTGTCGACGCCGGCCTTGCAGCGATATCGCGCAGTGTCGAGGATTTGCTTTTCCCGCCGGATGCCGAGGGGTTGGCGCCAGTCAGAGCGATGCATGACGGGGCTTTTTGCTTCACCACGGGGTGCCTGTCTCTAGACCGCCTTCTCAGCGGCAGTAGCTGCGTTGCGGGGAAGGGCGCGTATGAGGGTGGGTTTCGTGCTGGCTTTCTGTCCGAGTTGTACGGTGAGGCGGGCAGCGGGAAGACGCAGCTCGTTCTTCAGAGCCTCCTTCAGTGTGTGGCGGAGCACCTGTGTGAGCCGTGGACGCCGTCGGCCACACTTGCTCGGTGCCCTGGCGGACCCACGGCGAGAGGGGCGACGGCGCTGTACATTGTCTCCGAGGACTTTCCGGCCGCGCGGCTCGCGGCGCTGGCTGCCGGGGCCGTGAAACGGGCGAAGCAGAAGGCGCTCCGCCTCTCCTCGCACCTTCCACCGGCGACCGTTGATAGCCTAAAGGCGTCCCTGGAAGACTCGGTGACGGTGAGGGCGGTTTTGACGGGGCTCCACATCCGTCGCGTGGGGACGCTGGGGGAACTCGTGCGTCTGCTCCGCGACGGCACCTTGTCGCGGGCCTTTCATGCCCTGGGGGGCCGCGGGATGGTGGCGGTGGACTCCATTGCGGGGGCGGCTGCCGCAGGCGGCGGCGGCGATGAGCTGGCGGTGGAGGTGATGCTGGCGGGGACGCTGCTGAAGACGTTTGCGCTGCGGGAAAACGCCGCCGTGCTCGTCACCAATCAGGTGCGCGCAGTGCTCTCCGCTGGGGCGCAGCGGCGGCACGGCGGCAGGGAGGCGGTGGTCCCCGCGCTCGGGATCCAGTGGTCGCTGGCGCCGCACGTGCGCATCCACCTCCAGCGTCTTCAGGGCGCGGGCGGCACGACGCACCGACAGCTTATTGTGCTCTCGGGCCCCTCAAATCCGCCTGTTTGCGGCGGCTACACCATCGACACGGATGGCATTCGCGGCGACTCGTGAGGCGCCGCGGAGGTGGACAGACCTTTGCGCCTTTAACAGAGAAAGGAGGAAGGAAAGAAAGCGATAGATGGGGTGCGTGAGTGTTTTACTGCGGACGGAGCGGGGCGCTGCGACTTTTTTTCTTTTTTTTCCCCGCGTGGACGCCGTATCGCGTGCCCATTTATGGAGTGGCCCGGGGCGTTGCACAGAGTGAGCTGCAGGTGTCAAGGAGGGAGAGGGGGGGGGGGGTTCCCCTGCCTTTTTTTTTTAGCTTTGGTTTTCGTTCCTGGCAGCGGTGTCTGCATTGTGGCCAGCACCCCTGTTGGTGGGGGCCGCTGTGTGTGGAGCTGTGCTCCAAGGGCGAAACTTGCCGCACCGCTTCTGTGGCAGGGTGGATGCGACGCAGCGGCGGTGGTGGTGGTTGTTGTTGTTTCTGTAGCCGTTAACGGGACTCTTTAAGACATTCCTTGGCGTGTAACTTTAGCCGTGGCAGCGGAAACGGAGTCGAATACGAAGCACGAGCGATCCTGTTAGTTTTTATAGATGGCCTCGAGAGGAAGCGTTTGCGCATGCGTGTGAATACGTGAGTAATTTATAAAACGGGGGAACCTTTCCGTTTGTGCGCGTTTGTTTCTTCCTTTACTTATTTTCTCCTACAGACCTTTGCCACTGAGGCACTTCGCCGTGCGTGCGACTCCTGCTGCATCCTCCGGCCCCGTGGTGTCGGCCGGTTGCTTCATGCCAACTGGTTTTCCTCTCCCCGCGCATGCCTCTTTAAAAGCGAGTACTTTGCAGCGCGGTGAAGAGGCTCCGCCGTCTCTTTCTTTCTCTCTCTTTGTGTGTGTGTGTGTGTGTGCAATTTGTGGGGAAGCGCGCCCTCCTGCCTGCGTTTATGCCGTGAGATGCGGGAGATATTCTCACTCCTGCTTTGCTGCGCCGCTGCCTGTTGGCTGGCGCCGCCGCGGGCGGTGGCGGCGGAGGGAGGCCGCGGCTCTGAGGCCCGCCTGGTTGCCTTCGGCGACCTTCACGGCGACCTCTTTCGCTGCCGCCAACTGCTGCGGCTGGCCAACGTCACCGACGCCAACGACCGCTGGATCGCTGGTTCCTCCATAGTCGTGCAGCTTGGCGACGTCGCCGATCGCGGGCGACACCCCCACAAGATTTACGACCTCTTCGCCTCCCTGGAGCAGCAGGCGAAGGCGGCGGGCGGGGAGTTTATTTTCCTTATCGGCAACCATGAGCTGATGAATCTCTTGGGCGAACACAGCTACGTGCACCCCGATGCGATGGCCGCATTTGGCGGGGCGGAGGCGTACGCCGCGGCATTCAGCCCACAGGGCCCTTACGGCTCTTACATCCTGCAGCACCCGGTGAGTGTGGTGCGCAAGGGGGTCGTGTTTGTGCACGCCGGTATAACGCCGGCGTACGCCGCGAGGGGTGTGGGATATATCAACGCCGAGCTCACTAAACACTTTTCCCGCGAGCGGCACCACACCGCCTCAAAAGACACAACAAACGGTGAGGAGCACCCGTTCAGTGACTCGGACAGCCCTTTGTGGTCTAGGACCATCCTTTCTGAGGCCAAGCAGGGCAACTGCTCCCTCCTGCGTGAGTCGCTGCGCTTGCTTTCAATGCAGGAGGTCTCGGCGGGCCGCTTGCCGGTGCACATGATGGTTGGCGGGCACTCCGTCCAGGCGGGGGGCGCCATTGCAGTGGAGTGCAACGGCAGTCTTGTGGGGGCAGACGTGGGACTGAGCCGCTCTGTGTACCTCAGCGCTGGATACGTGGCGTACGTTGAGTTGGTGCCGGACGCGAGCGACCCGCCGCGCCTCGTCGCACAGCCGCGGTACCCGTTCGGCAGAGGCGTGCGGGCCCCCGCGCCGTCGCTGCTCGGCGGCCCCGTGCAGCCGCCACGCTGCACTCAGGCCGTCCGGTGCCCTTCGCCAGCGGGAGGGGGAAACCGGGAGTTGGCGGCGCTTCCTCGTGCCGGGCGAGGGAACGAACGCAGCGGCAGTGCAGGGCTTCTTGCGCCGCACTACCATCTTCTCTTTGTGCTTGCGGGCCTTTCCCTCGTCTGCCTCGTGCGACTGCGGCGGAGGCGACCGACGGGCGGCAGACACCGCGGCGTGTGTGGGCACTGAGTCTCGGCCACAGCAGCCTCCTCTCCTCCCCCGCAGTGCGGCCAAACTGGCGGAAGCCCCCCACCAAAAAAACAAGCAAAAAAAACCGAAAAAAAACGACAAGAGAAGTTCTCCTGTGAAACGCAGGCCCAGCGGGGTTGCCGTCCTTTTTTTATTATTCCTGTTTGCTTTTTTCTTTGTTGCTATTGTTCTGTTCTTCCTCCCTCCCTTTTCCTGCGGTTGAGGGGATCTCTCTCTCTCTCTTTCTGCGGTGCGGTGCCCTGTTGACCCCCTCCCTCCTCCTCCTCCTCCTCCTCCTCCCACCCGCGGCGTCGGCCGCCAAACGAAGAGGGGCATCGCCACACCCCACAGGAACGCCGCAGCGTCGCTTCTCAGGCGGAGGAAAATGCTCTCGCAGAATGTGTCCAAGACGACGGTGCCGTCGTACTACATGATCCGCACCAACCTCCCGCAGCGCAAGCCGCAGAACCAGTGGGAGGGGGTGTATTACTTCAGCGGCATCACCAATCGGCAGCGCCACCTCGTCTTGCTCCAGCGCAAACGCGAGCGGGAGGCACACATGCGGGCGTTCAGTGCCTCCTGTGCCAATGTGCTGCGGTTGTTTGAGGGGGACACTCAGCAGCAGCAAACGGCGCAGGCGCCAGAGCTTTCCTCCCCGCGCGGTCAACTCGATCTGGCCACGCGTTTGGCGCAGCACGGGCTTTACCAGCAGGCAAGCCACATTGTAGATGAGTTGCACCGACGGCGTGCACTCGGCGTGAACCACTATACTCTTCTCATTGACGCACTTGCAGCCCCTCGTGTGGGACGGCGGATTTTGCACTGCAGCGCACAGAGCGACCCCACGCTCACGTACAAGTTACTTGGAGACGATAACGGCGAGGAGCGGGCACAGGAGGCGTACCGGTGGTTTGACATGGCGCTCGCACAGCTGACGGCAGAGTGCCGGATGGGCGGTGATGGGCACTGCCCACCGCAGGCCACAGCGGCTGCCACGCACCTGGTGAACGCGTTGATGCGTACGCTTTTGACCTGCGGCTACACGCATGTCGCCGCCGTCCCTGACGCGGTGTACGACCGCATGGGGATGATGGGCATTTCCCCCACAATTAGCACCTACGAGCTGGTGATGCTCGCCCTATCGCTGCAGGGAAACATGCAGGAGGCAGAGAGCGTCTTCTCCTTCCTGCGCAAGCACCACAATGAGCACGTGACGATTGGCAGCTTCAACGCACTTCTTTTAGGGCACCGCGAGGGTCGGCAGTTTGACCGCTGCGACGCCATCTGGCAGGAGCTTGTGGACCGCCGGTGGCCGCGCGCCAACGTGCTGACGGCGGAGCTTTACCTGCGCAGCATCGTGGACCACTCCTACACACCCACGAGTGAGCCGCTGCAGCGCTTCGGGAACATCAACGTGGTTGAGAAGAAGAAGGTGCCGCTGGTTTTGGCGCAGATGGACGAGCTCGGCATCCCGCGCGCCCACCTCTCGCGGCCGCTCATGGATGAGGTGGAGGACGCCTTGCGCAAGTTCTGCATCTACAAGTCACGCTTCTACGAGTGGGGGCGCGCGGTGAAGCAGTTCAACTTCATCGAGTTCCGCCGCCGCAACGGGTGGATGTACGACCTGCACCTGATGAAGAACACCACGAAGCAGGTGGGGCCGCTGCGCGACTTCAACCAGCCAGACGCCGTGCAGGCAGCCGCGGCCACGGTGGAGCTGCCCGCGTTCTTCAACGAACGCCAGGCGTGGGAGAGGCCGCCGCTGGAGGAGACGTTGTCCGTCACGGAGACGAGGGAGCGCTACGACGACGTACGCGCAGGCGACATCTACGAGGACATCACCCGCGGCCTGCACGACCGCTCCCCGACGTGGATGAACGAGGTGCCCGAGACCCGCTACGATCGCCTGTACGGCGTGAATCACCCGGACATCGCAAAGATTGGCATCCGGCGGCACCTGAGCGCGGAGTACGTGAACCGCAAGGAGGTCGTGGAGCGTGACGCGGCCCTCATGAAGAAGAACTTGAGCAGCGGCCGGCGCCTGCGGCACAAGGTGGAGTCGTCCCGCACACACCGCAACGCTGGCTCACTGGGCGGCACCGCCGCCTCCACGTCTGCCTCACGGTAGACGGTTGGAGACCTTGCCGCCTCACACACACAGAGAGAAAGAGAGAAGAAGTGAGAGGAGGAGAGGGGGGGGGGATGACGGAACCCATGCATATATATATATATATATATAACTGTGGTGAACCTGTTTGTAACTTGATAGCAAAAAGAAAACAA